TTGTCGAATCATGTTTTGGGGGCGGGGGCAACATTCGGCAGTCATAATTACGTTAATACACAGGGAAAATGTGTAACGGGCGCCTCGCAGATACAAACGTGGTAAATAATGAATAAATGATAGCTAACATTAAACGTCAGCGAAACCCTAAGAATTCACAAATTATTTTACAATAGTGCTCTCATTATAACGTTATTTATATAACAGTAGTTATTAATGTTGTGCATTTTTGTTTTGAACTGCACACGCTGAAGATGACCAGTAGAATTATGCTGCAGGTTTTTAATCAATGGGATTTAACTCATCATTTATCTCATATAGAATACACTTCGTTATTTATACAACATAACATTAATATTACGACTTATAGGCTATCTGCACAAAATGCCCCGAATGCACGAAAGTGTCTGTGCGGCTCTGAATGAACTCCTTTTGTGGGTTCTTCACGCAACAACGTGCGGAAACACAGCAACTAAACTCTAAAAATTCACTGCGTTTTATTATAATAGTGTTCTCATTATAATTGTGTATGACAGTCCCAGTCATAGTTATTAATATTCTGTATTGTTGTTTGTCCTGCTAAGAGATAATCACCGTAGTACTATAATGAAGTGCTTTACTGCAGCGCAACTCAACCAAATGCATCTTATATGAGATAAATAATATATACACAATATATTGAAACATTTTGAAATCACTTGTACCCTACCTGATCGAAAAAAATCCAGTCTTTCACTCTGCCTGTGTTAATTTGTTTCTTGTTAAAGATCTAAATCCTTGCCGCCAAGATGCTCCTCTGTCAGTCAGAGATTATGGAAAGTGAAACTTAAATCTATAGGGTTGGTTGGATTTAGTCACGCACATTAAAATATTTATTTAAATCTTCTTTCTTTTCAGATTCTTATTTACAGCATTATCTTAATAGGCTGTATAGTAACTTATTGGGAGAAAACCAGTAGTTCTATGTGAAATCAGACATTTGAGACCCACTATTCGGGGTCACCCCTACTAAATACAATCACCTACAAGAATTCACTCCATATTACACATTTTGAAATGTTTAAATTAAATTAATGTTAATTAATGGTGCTAGCAAAGATAAACATTACTATTAAAGCTGCATTCACACCATGTCGTAATTACGAGATGACAACACTTGACATTCTACCCGGAGCTGTCCACATCCTCAGACTCTGTAGCGCCTAAATGAATCTGGCGGTGCTCAGGTGGTACAGAGGTCAAATGGTCCATGTCATAGCTCTCAGAACATTCCGAGCTTACAAGTTGTAATTACGAGTTCTGCAGGCACTTGAATGCTTTAGCGTTGATAGTGTTGCCATAGAAACGCATAATTCAGCTAGAGCATCACGTGTTGTCATCTCGGAATTATGATAATTACGACATGGAGTGAATGCATCTTAAATTACTGACAGATATAGTGTTAAGGATTTCAACAAAGTTTGGTCTTTTCTGGCATGAATAACATCTCAAATTGTGTGTCTTATTGCACTATTACTTTTCTAAACGATCACACTTATGATTTCATCCAGTGGACGATAAAACCAGCAAACAAATCCCAAAAACATACACTGCTAGAGGAATCCAGGTTATATTCAGGGAAAAGGACATCACAAATACTTGAGTGTGTCTACATCATTCACATTTTCTTAAATTGAAAGGCATGCTATTATTATTTATGTTCGCAAATATCTCAGTACATACTACTATTTGTTAACAAACAGTGCCTAAGGCCCATGGTTGAGAGTCCTTGCTCAAATTGTGTGCGCGCTCTTTCCCCCCACTGTGGGCTCAAAACTAGGTAGTGTTGAGTAATTAGCTCCATTTTTCAACAGAACGTGATAATTACTTTTGATAAATATTTGCATAATTGAACTACTAAGTGCCTTTTTTTCAGTCCCTCTACCCAACCCTCCCTTACACTGTGCTGGAGGTTAATGCTGTTCAGAAGCGCACAACATTCCTCGAGGCTTCTAGAAAGACATGCAATGCAAAAGAATAATCGCTGTTCTTTTGTTTTGTGCAGAGAGATGTCATACATTAACAAGGTTACAATAAAAGCATTGTATTATTGTATTGAAATGTATTACTAATTATATATATATATATAAAACATATAAATACTTAAGTGTAGGCATATACATGTATATCCACATACAAGCTAAGTGGCTTTCTACTAGGCAAAGAGTGCATAAAGCAGAGGCCTGGCTCTATTAACTGGAAATCTCATGGAATAACATTTCAGTTGCTCAGGGGCTTAAAGAAGAGTGAATTAAAGAGATAGAGTGAAGGCAAGCTGAGAGGAAACCAAAACCAGTGTCTGTCTTCCTCTCCACACCTTTGTGATATCAATAATTCCTTATCTAAATGGATCCAGAGCCGCCCGTAACAGCTTTTTGATTTTGTGTGAGACCATGCCAGGCCTCATAAATAAATATGAGGGATGGTGGGGGATTTCTGGGATGCTGTAGGTTACCTCACGGTGCAGGAGACTCTCGCTAAAAGCCCTGGCAGAGACTCAGTTTGAAGGGCACTGCCAAACAGTCACGGCACAGCACACTGGATATTACAGCCCAGTGGCGTATGGTAGACTTCTGTAATGAGGCAGATTCCTTCTCTGGGTTTGGCTTTTTAAATCTGATGTAAACTAATATATGTATATTCAGAAATTCTAAGTTTATATGATTTTAAAGTTTAAGGCATATAAACAGCATTTACCTTGCAGTATTAACAGTAAATCAACACTAAGAATGATTAAAAATATACAACTATTTATACATTTGATAAATATATTAACTATTTATTAAACTCAAATGATATTATATATATATTTTGTGTGTGTATTATATATATATATATATATATATATATATATATATATATATATATATATATTTGTAAGTCGCTTTGGATAAAAGTGTCTGCTAAATGACTAAATGTAAATTACTAAATGTAAATTATATATAACCAAAAAAATAAACAGAAAAATATTGAGTCATTACAATAGTATGTTTCGATTCAAAATGATTTTTTTTTTAAATAAGGGTCCGCAGACAAAACACTATGATAGCTTTCATGTTTGCTAGTGATCAATGCCAGAAGTCTGGGAGCCAATCATCTGGGTGAATATAGACATATGACTTGACACATGACAAGAATGTATCCAGTGAAAGTATCTCTAGTCTATTTGCATGTCCTCTAACTAAAAAAATACATTAAAAACCAACAAAAAAAGTCTATCCATTTTTTTTTTTACATTTTCCAAATGTTACCTGCATCTTGGTGTTTCCAGTCACCATTCTGTATGCAATATCCCAAAATTCCCATCCAAATACAAGGATGAAAACCTGGCTACTAATAGAGTAATTTAAATGTCTATTTTTATTTTCTCACCCAAATTTTCCTGAGAACACACTACTACAGTTTTTTTCCTCAAAGAAACGTCCCTGCTAAAGCCCGATGACTGATGTTCATTAAAAACTCTTGCGTTGACCTGACACAGAGCATACAGAGACACATTATTCTTGCACAACATTAGGAGCACAAGCCTCACCTAATCTATATATCCACACACTCGCACACAGAAACGATAATGGAGTGAGCAAGAGACAAAAGGAGAAAGCCAGAAAATGGGGGGGGGACTTTTATTGTGACACAGAGGCAGACGGATTATTCTCCAGCCGCACTGAGCCCAACGAGCCGTGACGGGTCCATCTCCAGTTCCCGACACACAAAACAGTGGCGTCTCAAATGCTTCTTACCTCACAGCACGCGCACACACACACACACAGCGGAAAAAATAATAAATAAATAAATAAACTAAACCTCCGCAAGCCAGTCGCGACCTGGATAGAATTACGTAATGTTGCAGCCAGTGTGGCTGTCATACGGCAGGGAGGGATGGGGATTGCGAGAGAGAGAGAGAGAAAAATGGGAGGCGGGGAGGCAGTGAAGCAAGAAGTCAGACTGATCTATTAGAGCTAATAATTACAATAATAAAACTGTAAAGATGCAGTCATCACCCTAGAGGCGTCGGGTACAATCGTAGCCCTCTCAAGGTCAGACAAGGGAGGGCCACTCTTTAACGGTTACCTGCTCAGACTCCGGCTGAGTGATTACAGGTTTGAAATGTCCTTCTTGTTCAAGGTCATTCCGCCAGAACTGGGAAGTTTTGTGACCTTGACCATACCTGAAATACTAAAATGCAATGGGATTTGCCATTGCCACAATATGAGAATGCATTAAAAAGATTTTCTGAAGAAAAAACTGCTAGATTATTGCTTAAAGGGATAGTTAAACTCAAAAATGAAATTAGCTAAAAATGTACTCAAGGGTGAGTACATTTCGGGTGAACTATTCCCCCCCATATGGCTCGAGTACCTTCTTCAACATAAGATTTTTTCGCCCATTTTACATAGACAAATAAAGGTTCTTTATTGGAATCAACATCCATGGAATCTTTCCATTGCACAGAATGTTTATATTGGAAAAAGTTATTTTTAAGTAATTTTAAGAGTGTATCATCCTTTGGGAAAAATCATAAGTTTGATTTTAAGGCTGCATAATTTGAATGGCCTTGTTCCTGTGTAAAGTGAGAAAACAGCCCGATATGCACACAAAACATTGGGACACAAGCTGATAGATGATTTGAACAGGTCATCTTCAGAACAGAACAATCATCTCCACCAAAATTGAAATGCCTGTCAAAACATTTCTGAGATGGAGCACTTGCAGGCTGACTGCTCTGACGAGAGGCACAAAAGTGCTGACAGAAGAGGATGAGGGAGACCACAGCCTCTCTCATGTGACATTAACCCTGCCGACCCACAGTGACCTAGACAATTATTGAATAACAGCTCCTCTCTCTCACAAGGAGCAGCCTGCAATAATGACTTGAGAATATGAGATTTACATAATTAAAAGACAACATAAAATCAATATTTGTGCATTTGATGCTTTCTCAGACAGACAGAAAAACAAACCTCTTTTCCCAGGTCTTCTCGTATGACCTGCCTGATCTCCTCCATACTGCTCTGAGGTGCTCTGCTGTGCAGGACCTTCAGCGTGCTGGTGTACTCCTCAGGCAGGAGGTAGTCTAGGGCTCCCAGGTGCTGCCCTACTTTAATGAAGGTGCCTCTATTCGAACAACACAAGTCCCGGAGCCTCTCTGCTGAACGCCTGTGAACCTGAAGAAAGAGAAACAAATTAAACAAATTAAATTATGAACTAGACCAATGAATTTACTGAGTGCTAATTAAAATAATGTATAATAGCACTCATATTTCTTATTAATGCACTACCGCTTAAAATTTTGGGATTTTGGGGAGTACGATTTTTTTATAATGTTACAAATAATTTATATTTTTAAAAAAATGCTGTGCTTTTGAACTTTCTCTACATCAAAGAATCCTGAAAATGTGTATCAAAGTCTCCACAAAAATATTAAGCAGCACAACTGTGTTACACATCAGTAAAAAATAAAAGATGACCACCAAATCAGCATATTAGAATGATTACTAAAAGATCATGTGCAATTTTGCGTTATCACAGGAATACATTACATTTTAAAATACACAAAGTTACATACAACATAAAATATTACTGTTAGATCAAAATTTTAAAATAAATGTAGCCATGGTGAGTATAAGAGATACAATGACATTAAAAAAAAATTTGTTTTTTGAATGTTTATTAATGTTAAGCACTTGATCATCTTTATTTTCTTACATAAATGCATAAATGTAGGCCTACAGTGGCTGTATGGTGCAAAGATGGTATATATACACTATATGGGACACATATATATACAGGGCCTAAAATAAAATTAACACTCGCCAAGTGTCAAATGCGAGTAAAAATCAGCTGTTCTGTCATAAGCGACAAGAGCGATAAGGTCAGAGCAGTGTGAAGTGAAGTGAAGTGATATGTGGCCAAGTATGGTGACCCATACTCAGAATTAGTGCTCTGCATTTATCCAATCCAAAGTGCACACACACAGCAGTGAACACACACACACACACACACACCGTGAACACACACCCGGAGCAGTGGGCAGCCATTTATGCTGCGGCGCCCGGGAAGCAGTTGGGGTTCGGTGCCTTGCTCAAGTGCACCTCACTCGTGGTATTGAAGGTGGGAGAGAGCGCTGTACATTCACTCCCCCCACCTACAATCCCTGCCGGTATGAGACTCGAACCCGCAACCTTTTGGGTTACGAGTCCGACTCTCTAATCATTAGGCCACATGTGATAGTCCGCTTGTCAATAGACTCGTTTCTACTAACTTTTACCTGAGACGATATTGCTGCTTCATTTCGGAAGATTAACTAGAAAGGACAACATTTAAAAAAAAAAAGCCAACATAAAAGAAGCACATTTTGATAAGTTGTCTGCATCATTGCTACCAGTGAAAAAATAAATAAATAAATAAAACACACACAAACGCAATACACACTAGGTTCCCTCCCCATCAACTCATTTGTCTTAAATGCTGTTTAAATGGGTCGTCAGTTTTACGGGGGTTTTTGTGCTGTCCCGTCCCAACACCAGCTGGTGGAGTTGATAGTACTCTTGGAGGGACATCCCTTTGGGACCAGAGCAAGTAAACTGCCGTGAAATGAGCTCTCTTAACCCTCTCACCCTGACAAAAGACAGTCTTTTGTGCTCCAAATGGGGCCGCATATGAGGCTGGTCGTCCGATTCGAATCATCCCTCAAAAGACAAAGTCCACATGAACCTAATTATAGTGGGTGGGGAGTCTATATGTGTGTGTCATCGTGTGTGTGCAGGGATTAAACTGGGCCGCAATGACCAGAACATCATTCAGCATCTCGACTAAAAAAATATATATATTATTAGTAGTCTTGTCGATGAATTCCATTTCTTATATGATCCAGTTTGATACACACACTACACAGTCTCCAAATTAATTCACTGAAAAAGTAAAAAAATACTTTAATTAGAGTTTATTGCATTACACATTATGTTCCCCCTAGGCAGTGGCAGACATTCACAGAAAAACATTCTGATGCCAAGGACTCCCAAAACTGATTTCTTTCTGTAAATAAATACTACCTATAAATATATGTATATGTATACACATACACTATATATATAAAAAAATGTTACTCACAAAACCTGTAGCCTTATATATATATATATATATATATACACAGTGGTGTGAAAAAGTGTTGGCCCCCTTCCTGATTTCTTATTTTTTTTGCATGTTTGTCACACTTTAATGTTTCAGATCATCAAACAAATTTAAATATTAGTAAAAGATAACACAAGCAGTTTTTAACTGAAGGTTTTTATTATTAAGAGAAAACAAAATCCAAAACGACATAGCCCTGTGTGAAAAAGTGTTTGCCCCCTAAACCTAATAACTGATTGGGCCACCCTTAGCAACAACAACTGCAATCAAGCGTTTGCGATAACTTGCAATGAGTCTGTTACAGCGCTGTGGAGGAATTTTGGTCCACTCATCTATGCAGAATTGTTGTAATTCAGCCACATTGGAGGGTTTTCGAGCATGAACCGCCTTTTTAAGGTCATGCCACAGCATCTCAATAGGATTCAGGTCAGGACTTTGACTAGGCCACCCCAAAGTCTTCATTTTGTTTTTCTTCAGCCATTCAGAGGTGGACTTGCTGGTGTGTTTTGGATCATTGTCCTGCTGCAGAACCCAAGTTCGCTTCAGCTTGAGGTCACGAACAGATGGCCGGACATTCTCCTTCAGGATTTTTTGGTAAACAGAATTCATGGTTCCATTTATCACAGCAAGTCTTCCAGGTCCTGAAGCAGCAAAACAGCCCCAGACAATCACACTACCACCACCATATTTTACTGTTGGTATGATGTTCTTTTTCTGAAATGCAGTGTTACTTTTACGCCAGACATACCTTCAATATTATAGTAATGTAGTACCAACTGACTCTCATGTATATTTTACAGCATTAGTTGAGAGATTTTTTTTCCTTGAGAAAATTTGGCATGTACTGTACCTGATATATATATCCAAAATAATCGATATTGAATCGAATCGAATCGTGAAATTTGTGACAAAACCCAACCCTAGTAAATAAGATACAAATGTGTCCCTTTCAAAAGGGTACCTTTTTCCTGTTACATTTTCTATTTTGAAAATATGAAAAGGATTATTTACCCAAAATAAAAAGTGTGTCATCATTTACTAATCCTCATTTTAACACAAACCTGTATGACTTTCTTCTATGGAACACACACACCAAAAAAACAAAACAAAAAAACAAAACAAAAGGGTGAGTAAATTATAAAAAAAATAATAATAATTATCCCTTTTGGGGTACAAGGACCCCAATTTTGAACCCCCCACTCTTATTAAATTAAATGCAACCAAATACCAAATTTAATTTTGCTTAACTTATAAAAAGTTGTTTACAGTCAGTTACAGGACAGCCAAAATCTAAATCATTCCACTAGACCAGAGCTGGGTAACTTCGGCCCTGGAGGGCCACTGTACTGCAGAGTTTAGCTCCAACCGTAAATCAAGTACAGTGGCCCTCCAAGACCAAAGTTGCCTAGCCCTGCACTAGACCAAAAATTACCATATAATTTATCTGTATAAGTGCACATTTTCAAGTTCAGTTTTAATTAATTGTTTGTTTTTATGTAATTTTATGTTTGTTAGTACGGTGACAAAATGGTTCCGACAGTGATAATTATGCATTTTGTGGATGGAGGAGAGGGTCATGTCATAGTATATGTTGCCTAGGCACCACAATCACCATACATTTTAGGGTTCCTCAGTGTTTGTTTTTTTCTTGAGTGTTTCCTCAGGCAACACCACCTCAGGTCCAAAAGACTTCTTTGGATGAAGGCAATATTTCTGACAGGATGTGGAGGGAAGAGTAAACACACTTCTGTCGGGCAGGATTTGCTGTTAATCCTCACAGGCAGTGGATGGGAGATTTGAAGGTTGTCCTATGGGCATTTTCTGTAGCACTGTTCGAACTCGGCATCGCTACCACCGATGGCAGCCCGGGTCGACCGGCTTTTTGCGGCACACACAAAACCAAATTTTCCATGCCCGGAGAAGCCAATAGGATGTGACTGCTCGGAGATAATTACGAGGGTGATGAGAAGACACTTTATTTCAGCAGATACAAAGCATGTGGTTCTCGCCTTCCCAGCCCAGAGCCCAAACAGGCTTTTGATGGTGAGGATGTGTCGAGGAGAAAGGCAGGGCTAATAAGAGACGAAGGAGGCAGTAATAACAGACATGATCTCCGCCTGCTCCTCTTCAACGCCTACTATACTGGATCTGTGGAACCAATACAGCAAAGTGGAGGGACGGCATCATGGGAAAAAGGATAAGAAGAGGAGGTCTACCCTTTTTTATTCTTTGCTGGCTAATCCCCCAGGGAAAGAAATCTGTGCCACCTGCCATCTTACAGTCCTGGCACTGGTAGACGCTATTGGCAGGCAGTCAGACTTCCTCCATTTCTCTCACTATTCCAACTCCTCATTTCTCCCAGCCACCCGCGGCTACGGCAATCACATGGCCAGTCCACTAGGGGCAACCTGGAGGAACATGTTGGCTTTTTACAGGGTGTGAAAGGGAAGCCGCTCTGGGATTGATTTGCAGCTGCACTCATGCGACGAGCCTCTGTGGTGTGCAGCTGGTCGATCCATAGCTTTTAAAGAAAAAAATATATTATTAGGATTCTTAAACATCTTGTTTTAGGCCTTCATCCTGAATTTTTGCCCAACTAAGTGCATTTTTATACACTAACATCCAAAGCAGCACAGAAAAGGAAATTCAGGCAGAAAGGGACCTGTTTCTCCAGAATTAAAAAAAATAAAAAAAAGGGCAGCATTTACTGCAGCAATTTACCGCGAGCCAGCAGAGAGCGAAATAACACAAGAGCACTTGTCGTATCTGATGAGGCGTCAATCATGTCTTCCATCAAGGCAATGCTGAAGAGTCTTTTGTCACAGGAGCTGTTCAGCAAACACAAGTGTGACAGCCAATCAAGTCCTCACCACAGCACGGGGAGGAACAGGAGAAGCCCTCCACATGTTCAGAGTGTAGTAAGACAGGCAAACTCAGCAGAAAGCGCTGATTTTACGTGGGCAGGGGAGAGAGAGAGCTAGATAAAGATGAAAAGATCACACACGGAAGGATGGACACACAAAGCTTCTGCTAT